AGAATTGATCAGAGAAAACCTTATGAATAGCAGAGAAACACTGTCTGATATATTACTGTGCAACTTTATGAATAGGCTGGAAACATTGTCCGATACAGTGCAGGAGGATAAGCCACTTAGGTCAAAAGGCTCTCAAAATAGGACTAGGAAAGAGCTGTGTTCTGGTTACCTTGTGCTGCTCTGACAAGAATATACCACAAATGAGATGACCTTAACAAACAGGAGTTCATTCTCTTACAGTTTGGAGGCTTTAAGTCCAAGTTCAAAGTGCCAGGCTCTAGGGGCTGGGTGAAAGCCCCTCAACCTTGGGGTCCAGCTCTGCCTCCTGCTCCTGGCCCACTGAAGCTAGTGGTGTTTCTTCACTCAGACAGCTCCTGGCTGCTGAGACTGACAGACCCAAGGTTGACAAGTAAAAAGGCACAGTCCCGGTGTTACCAAACCACACAGTAGGCCCTTAAGTCCACTGTTACTTCCCAAGGTCAGCAGAGCATGGCAGGCTGCTTAACATTGGCACGGCTACATGCACGGTCCAAGCATGCCATAAACTAGAGACTATACCCAAGGCTTCTCCTGATATACAGGAAGCAGACCATATCTCAAAGGCAGCTACTCAGTTGCTCGTGGTAGATCCTAGCATGGAGTTGATTGCAAGTCTCATCACAAGGAATAACTACCACCAGCTACCCAGCCATTCAACAAAGCCCAGCCAAGTTGACATACACATTTAACTACCACAAGCTGTATCATCAGAATAGAACCAGCATTAATGATATGGATAAGGTAAAGCTTTCAAGACTTCCACTTTCTGACGTGGCACAACTCAACTTGAGGAGAAACAGTTGTAAACATATATTAATAATCAGAACATGAAATGCACAAAATATGAATCTAGGAAAATTGGAAGTTGTCAAAAATGAAATAGAGTGCATAAAGATTGATATCCTAGGCATTAGTGCGCTGAAATGGACTGGTTTTAGCCATTTTGAATCAGACCACCATATGGTCTACTATGCCATGAATGACAGTTTGAGGAGGAATGGTGTGGCATTCATTATCACAAAGGATGTTTTAAGTCATACAATCAGGATGTGTTAATTATGACTTTTGACTGGAATGCAAAAGTTGGAAACGAAGAATCACTGGTAGTTGGAAAATTTGGCCTCGTTGACAGAAATGATGCTGGAAATCACATGATAGAATTTTGCAAGACCAATGACATTCATTGCAAATACCTTTCCCAACAACACAAATGGCGGCTATACATGTGGGAATATACAGGAATCAGATTGACTACATCTGTGGTAAAAGGCGATGGAAAAGCTCAATATCTTCAGCTCAAGCTAGGCCAGGAGCTGAATCATGGAACAGACCATCAACTGCTCATATGTAAGTTCAACTTAAAGAGAGTTAAAACAAGTCCATGAGAGCCAAAATATGATATTGAATATATCCTTCCTGAATTTAGAGACCATATAAGGAATAGATTTGATGATTGAACAACAGTGACTGAAAACCAGAAGAATTATGGGATGACATCAAGAAATCATCCATGAAAAAAGTAAGAGGTCAATGAAACAATGAGAAAAGAAGAAAAGACCAAAATGGATGACAGAAGAGACTCTGAAACTTGCCCTTATGTGAAGAGTAGCTAAAGCAAATAGAAGATATGACAAGACAAAAGAACTGAACAGAAGATTTCAAAGAGCAACTCAAGTAGACAAAACCAATTACTATAATAAAATGTGCAAAGACCTGGAGTTACAAAACCAAAAGGGAAGAACATACTTGGCATTTCTCAAGCTGAAAGAACTGAGGAAAAAATTTCAGCCTCAAGTTGCGATACTGAAGAATTCTATGGGCAAAATATTGAATAATGCAGGAAACATCAAAAGAAGATGGAAGGAATACACAGAGTCACCGTATGAAAAAGACCTAGTCAATCTTCATCCATTTCAGGAGATGCCATATGATCAAGAACCAATGGCACTGGAGGAAGAAGTTGAATCTGCACTGAAGGAATTGGCGAAGAACAAGGCTCCAGGAATTGACAGAATACCCACTGAGATGTTTCAACTAACAGATGCCCCACTGAAGGCACTCACTTGGTTATGCCAAGAGATTTGGAAAATAGCTACCTGGCCAACTGACTGGAAGAGATCCATATTTGTACCCATTCCAAAGAAAGCTGATCCCACAGAATGTGGAAATTACCCAACAGTATCATTAAAAGTGCATGCAAGTAAGATCATGCTGTAGATAATTCAAAAACAGTTACAGCAGTATGTTGACAGAAAACTTCCAGAGGTGCAAGCTGGATTCAGAAGAGAACATGGAACAAGGGATATTATAGCTGCTGTCAGATGGATCCCGGCTCAAAGCAAAGAATACCAGAAAGATGTTTACTTGTGTTTTATTGACTATGCAAAGGCATTTGATTGTGTAGATCATAACAAATTGTGGATGACATTGAGAAGAATGGGAATTCCAGAACACTTGATTTTGCTCATGAGGAACCTGTACATTGACCAGGAGGCTGTTGTTTGAATAGAACAAGGGGACACTGCATGTTTCAAAATCAAGAAGTGAGTGTGTCAGGGTTGTATCCTTTCCCCATACTTATTCAATCTGTATGCTGAGCAAATAATCCGAGAAGCTGGACTATATGAAGAAGGTGGCATTGAGATTTGAGGAAGAATCAGTAACGATATGCAATATGCTGACGACACAACTTTGCTTGCTGAAAGTGAGGATGACTTGAGGTACTTTCTGATGAAGATTGAAGAATACAGTCTGCAGTATGGATTATATCTCACATAAAGAAAACAAAAATCGTAACAACTGGACCACTAAGCAGCATCACGATAAATGGAGAAAAGATTGAAGTTGTCAAGGACATCACATCGTTTGGTTTTACAATCGATGCCAATGGAATTGGCAGTCAGGGCATTAGACCATGTATAGCACTGGGCAAGTTGGTTGCACGGGACCTCTTTCAAGTGTTGAGGAGCAAGGATGTCTCTTTGAGGACTAATGTTCTCCTGACACAAGTCATGATATTTTCATTTGCTTCATATGTGTGTGAAAGCTAAACAATGAGTAAGGAAGACCGAAGAAGAATTGATGACTTTGAGTTGTGGTGCTGGTGAAGAATGCTGAAAGTACTGTGGACTGCTAAAAGAACTAACAGATCTGTCCTGGAGGAAGTGCAGCCACAATGCTCCTTGGAAGCAAGAATGGCCAGACTTCATCTCACCTACTTTGGTCATGCTGTCAGACGGGACCATTTCCTGGAGAAGGATGTCATGCTTGGTAAGGTGGAGGGTTGACAAAAGAGGGCAAGGCCCTCAATGAGATGGATTGACACAGTGGCTGCTACGATGGTTTCAAGTATAGCAAGGATCATGGAGCTGGTGTGGGACCAGGTGGTGTTTCGTTCTGCTATGCATAGTGTTGCTATGAGTCAGACAGGCACCTAACAAAACAACAACAATGAATTTTAAGTGCTAAATAATTGCTGACTATCATTACTATTAAGTTCTCCTGAATGGTGCAAAAGGTTAAGCTCTCAACTGCTGACTGAAAGATCAGCAGTTCAAACCAGAGACCCTTCAGAATAAAGAGCTGACAATCTGCTTCTGAAAACTTTCAGCCTTGAAAAGCCTATGGAGCACATTTCTACTGTCACATACATGGGGTCACCATAAGTCAGAATTGATTTGACAGAAACTGGTTTGCTTTTTGATTTTATTATTATTTTCAAATATCCAGTGTTTCATAAGGTCAGTGGCCTTCCTTGACTAATCTGGAGTAGACAAGAATTACTAAAAATATTCATCAGAGCATCAGAGTCTGTGCATCAATTGTCAGTTTGATGGTTTAGCAATCTCCTACAAACTGAATTAAACATTCAAATCACAATGAGAAATAATAATAAAAACAAACTGGAAAGGGTTTGTAAATTAAGACATGATCACTCATGTTATTCTGTATCAAACAGCTAACATATCTCTACCTCCCCAATGACCTGCATCATTATATTATTCTGATTGATATGTTCTGGCTACCTTAATCTTTATATGACCACACCATATATCTGGTATAGATCCTTGATTCCAGTTAGCATGTCTTGATTGTTATTGTTGTTAAGTGCTGTTGAGTCAGTTCCAATTCATAGTGACCCCATGTACAACAGAATGAAACACTGCCCAGTCATACACCATCCTCACACATGTTAGGACATTTGAGTCCACTTTTTTTTTTTTTTTATAAAACCCCCAGAACCAACCCCACTGCTGTAGAGTCAATTCTAGCTCATAGCAACCCCCTTTGGTTTTCTGAGGTGGTAAATATTTACAGAAATAAATTGACCAGTCTTGCTTCTGCAAGAATGGCTGCTTGGTTTGAGCCACCAACCTTCTGGTTAGCAGTCAGATATCTTAGGCACTGTGCTACCAAAGCTACTGCTCCCTTTTTTAAAAATAAGACCCTAAAAGATATTCAGTATCATGGGTCCATGAATCTAGAGCTGGGCAAATGTTTAAACTAGAGCATTGCAGACCATTAGTGGAATCAACTTAAGTTGTTGTGATTGGTCACTCTTACAGTGGGTCAGAAAGAACTAGTCCAATCAAGCTCTGCTATAGCAAGTCACATCTTGATCAGAGGCCTATAAAAAATGTTCTTTGTTGTAAATGTGTGTTTAGGATGTTCTTTTCAGAAACACTTCCTTTCAGAAATACTTCCTTTATGTTTATTTTAATTGTTTTGGAAGGTATGTATTTGTCAATTTTTTGTTAGTATTGAGGAGTGCTGACATGCTGATTTTAAAATGACCATACAACTTAGAAGGCATTTCTGAGAGGAGAAAAGTTCCTATAAAGAAGAATTACTATGATGAAGTTAATTAATAGCTACTGAATATTATTAAGTGATTTATTAACATACTATGTTGAAAACTACCAGTTCATGCAATCCTTCTGTTCTCATTTTTAAGGAGGAAGATGAAGGCTCGGGCTCCCCCTCCTCCTGGAAAACCCTCTACTTTGAATATTCATAGTGAACGGAAATCAAGCAGAGATTTGGGCGTCAGCCCCCAACAGAACCTAATCAACATGAAAGAAAATCTGAGGAATAGTTTGGTGAATATCACTGTTGTTCTTCCCAGTGGGATGGAGAAAAAGAGTGTGGTCAATGGAAGGTAAGAGAAAAGGTGTTTCAGGAAAGAGTCATTGTATTACCATTGGCAAGTATAAGGAGGAGAACTGAAGGGTGGATTCTGATGTATGGTTAAGTTTGACTTGATGGGCCTCCTAAATATAAATCTGGGCCTATGTAATAATCTAAGACAACTTAAAATGTCTCACCTGAAATAATTATGTGCTACCACATCCAGCCAAGTTTCATCCTTAGGATGACAAGTAGTACACAACTCACTTCTGTTAGACAGCATGCTCAGGAAGAAGATCAGGTATGGCATCCTATAAGCAACTCCAAGCCAGGTGACCAACATGCCCAGGTTTGGACCTAAAACTGGAATTTGCTAGTATCCTTTGCTCCAAAATTATACAACAAGGAGAGAAGCCTCCTGAATTAATCATTCAAATATCCAGTTATAAATTGACCTACACAGCATACAAATACAACTGACAATCAACTCTTTCAAATGAAAGTAATTCAAATTTAGCTTGAGAAATAGCATCCAATCCATGGCTTTCAAATTTAGCTATGACTGTTAGGATAATGAGTATGTGTAGTTTGTGTACATTGATCTAAAGGTGTATGTATATTGTCTCTAGTTCTGAAGGGATAAAAAAAGTTGTTTTATTAGGAATAGTGTTTAACTCCTAATAACAAAGACTCACATAAAATAAATCTAGAGGTTGGCAGAAATTCACACCACTTTGATTTCTTTTCCATCATCCTTAGCATTAAGATCTGTCTTTAATATCACCCTGTGGTGCAGGATGGCCACTGAGACTTCAAGCAGTAGTTGAGGGGAAGGAGGAATAGGCAAAAAGGAACAATGTCAGCTAATTTTCCATCCTAAAAATTAAAATCTGTCCTGAAAAGCCCCACTTACAACTTATAACTGTGCCTCTTTAGTCATTTCTTGCTACTGAAATAAGATTAGAAAATCTATTAGCTAGGCATAATTTCAAGATGGGAGCTCTGGAAGCATAGTGGCTAAGGCACTTGACTGCTAACCAGAAGGCTGGTGGTT